TCTCACCCTCACCCAGACACCTACGCCCCAGCCCCCACCCACACCACCTCCACATCTGGCCTAGGGCTGATCCGCCCCACCCAGCCACCGACTATGACCAGCCCACTCCCCCCGGCCTCTGTCACAGTCAGTCTCTATTCCCCATAGTCCCACTCCCAATTTTGGAGATTACTCCTTAGCATGAGGACAACATTCAACCCATATAGAATAACTCTATTTCAAAGCTGTAGAAATTCGCTCAACTTCCCAAATTCTACTGCAATGGTCAACGCCCTTCCAGCCTCCATCAGGAGTCACCTCGATAATGAAAAGTATGTTGGTGTGTGTCGGGGGGTGGCTCAGTGGAAGAGCACTTGCCTAGCATGTACGAGGCACTGGGTTCAATCCCTAGCGTTAAGGAAATGGAAGGGCAGGTCAGGGGGAACCCAGAAACGCCCACATTTCTTTTTTCCTTTTCTTTCTTTGTGTGTGTGTGTGTGTGTGTGTGTGTGTGTGTGTGTGTGTGTTACTAGGGATTAAACCCAGGGGCACTTTAACATTGAGCTACATCCCCCAGGCCTTTTAATCTTTTATTTTGGGATAGGGACTGAGTAAGTTTCCCAGGCTGGTCTTGAACTTGCAATTCTCCTGCCTCAGCCTCCTGAGTTGCCAAGATGACAGCGTGTTCCACTGCACCCAGCACACACCCACATTTTCATCCAGTGTGAGTCAGTTCTTCCAGAAAGCCCACCCAGGGCACAACAGGAAAGGGACCTCTACCCTGGCTCAGATACCTGCTTACCCACTGGCTCCCAGGCAGGGCAGAGGAGCCCCCTACTCTTGTAGACACCCCAGCTGGGAAACAGGTTCAGGATACACTCAATCCCAACACCAGATCCAAAGAGGACCTTTGGAATTTTTTTTCCAAGTAGAATTCAAATGGAAACTAAGAATTCTAACATTAAGATACAGCAGCAAAAGAGAACCACAAAGCCACGTGTACAAATGCCTGTAATCCCAGTGGCTTGGGAAGTTGAGGCAGGAGGATCACGAGTTCAAAGCCAGGCTCAGCAACTTAGCAAGGCCCTAAGTAACTCAGTGAGACCCTGTCTCTAAATAAAACACAAAAAAAGGATATGGATGTAGCTTGGTGGTTAAGCACCCCTGGATTCACTCCCCAGGACTAAAAAAAAAAAAAAAAAAAAAAAAAAAAAAAAAAACCACAGAACCCACACAGGAAGCATAGCTCTTCTGAGTGACACAGGCTTGGGTTTAAACCCTGGCTCTGTCAATTTCTGGCATTTGCCATTGAGTAGGTTACTTCACCTCTCTGAGCCTCAGATTCCTTGCCTACAAAATGGGGCAATAATTCAGATGCACAGAGTTATGCAAAAAGGTAAATTTCAGATAGTGCACATGGTAGGCACTCCCCAAGTGCCAGCCACATACAGTTTTAAATAAAAACTTAAAAGTCTTTTGAAACCAGGATTGCTGATTTGGTTCTCCAGGTCTTTTACAAAGATGGAGAGAAATGAGCTTGGTTCAGTCTTGGGAGAGGCCATCCTGGCAATACCCAAATTGCTCGGGCCCCAGCCTCGAGCAAACCATAGAGGAGTCTTAGGAGCCAGCGGTCAGTGGGCCTCAGTGGCCCTCTTGATGGCCCTTCTGTGCTGAGGAAGAATCCACACCGGCGAGAGCTGGGCCTGCCTAGCTGAGCTGCGTCCCCACGGGACAGACAGCGCCCCATTATGAGGCGGCCTGCAGCTGTGCTTGATTCTACATAAAGGCCATGATTTATTCCACATGCCCAAACGGAGCCTAATTATACAGGGCAGGACACAAGGACCGTACAGCAAGTGTCCTGAAAGAATCCCCTCTCATTCAGCCCAACAAGACTCCTCAGCCTCCCGCCCTCTGCATTCACGGACACCCCCTCCCGCCCACCCAGCGCAGGCCTGGGAGCTCGGGCCTGTTGCCATGGTGGCTGGCCCCTCCCTGCCCCCCCCCCATTAGTAGGAAACCATCCCCTTCTGAAATGTCCCCTTGTGTCTGTCAGCTTCAATCAGAGCCCCCCACCCAGCCCCAGCCGTCACCCACTCCCAGGCTCCCAAAGCAGTCACACACTCAGCCTCTGTGACGCTCAGTGGCCAAGCTGGGAGGGGGGTGCACAGGCTGGGGACACTGGAATATTCACGGCCCCGTTGCAGCAGAGGCAGCCGGAGGAGCAGCCCACCCCACAAGGGACCCCTCAGGAATGAAGTAGCCTTTCAGGGCTGGAGGGGCTGCAGGCTCCCTTCCTCTCCTTAAATAGCCAGCCGTCCACCCGCAGCTGCACAGAGGCCACCGCCAACACCAACGCCCGCGCCTACAGTTCACCTGCCACCCCAGCTCCTGTCCCTTCCTCCTGGACCAGCTGTGAGAGGTAAGGAGCAGGACGGGGCGGGCAGGCAGGGCGTCCGGGAGTCACCCTGCTGGTGAACATGGGGCATCTCTTGTCCCTGTCTCCTTGATAATGGCTAGGCCAAAGTTGAACTCCCAGCGACCTGCAATGCAGTGTTTTTGCCCCTCCATTGGGGGCTTATAAAGGACAGGGGACTTTCCCACAGGCCCATGCCGCAGTGACAGTCAGCCAGCACCCACRACCACAAGGCTTTCTTAGCACAAGGAAGAGCCAGATTCGGACCAGGAAGGGACAGGTGACCCATGTACAAAAAACTACCTCTGCCAACCACAGTACTGCCACCCATGGCTTCCTCCTCCAGCCGCGTCTGCCCGTATGGCCCCTCCACGGAGGCCCAAGGCCCATCTGACCTGCAGCCACGGGGCCCAGACTGCCCCAGGTCTAGGCCATACTCCACGTTGCTCTTAGTAGCACATGCTCTGTGACTGTCTGAGCAGAATGAGCCCAGAGGACCCATAGATCCAGGCTGAGGCTCAAATTTCTAAGGGACAAGGGAGCGAGAGAAATGGAAGGAGAAATCACAGCAAAACAGAAACAACCCAGACAGTCTCGGTCACCAAGAGTGAGTATCCCCAGTCTCCAGCCTAGGTGGCAGGCCAAGGGCAGCATCAACAGGCAAGGTCACCTGGCAGAAGGCAAGGCAGAACCAGATGCCACAGCCCACCCAGCACTCTGGGGTGTGAGCCCTGTAGTCACACACTCGGAGCCCTGAGTGGTTTAATGCTCTGCTGTCGTGTCTTGAAATTCTTGCTTTTCAAGCAAGGAATACACATTGTCATTTCACATTGGTCCCCCAAATTAGGTGGCCAGTCCTTCAGCCAGGTCCCAAGAAGGAGACACTGAGCCAGAGAYGACTCCAGAATGAGCTCTAAGACAAGCCACACTCCTGGCTCTGGCCACGGGGCCCTCGTGGGTCTCCAGAGGTAGTGTCCTGGGAGCCTTGGGTCTCTCTGATCCAACTTCCAACTCCAAGGCTACTGCCCCCTGCTATGTGATTTCAGGCAAGAAAGCAGACGCCAAGCCCTGTTTTCCCCCTTTGTAAAATGGAGCACCTGATGCCAACCTCCTAGAACCAGCACACACAAGAGGAAGCAGGCCCTGACCATGCCATGTGTGGGTAAGGGTGGGGGCCATACCTGTGAGCTGACCTCCTGGAGGGGCCAGGTGACAAATGTACTGTAGAGCACAGTCCAGGTCCAACCGACTGCCCAGGGTAGAGGGCAGCCAGCTCAGCCCCTTCCTAGCTCTGGGTTCCGACAGACCAGAGATGAGAAGTCAGGGTCAGCATTGGCCTCCTGAGCCACGTCCAGTCTCCTGCCCCACCCTAGGCTGTAGGCAGCTCTGGCCCCATCATCTACCCTCTCCTGCCCACATCCCCAGCTCCCAGTCCTGGGCAAAAGAAGCAAGGTGTTTGGGACTCCCCTTCTTCTCTCTCTTGGATCTTTTAAATGGACTAAATCAAAGCAAAGCAGATTTCCCTGTCTGTTGGGGAGGGATGGGGAGCACTAATGAGGATCTGGGCTTCACTTTGTTAGCAAGGGAGGGCTCTGACCACAGTCCTCAGGCAGCCTCTCAGGCCTCTCTGAGCTGCAGATCTTCCCGGGGAAATCCTAGCCAGTCTCTCTGCCATGAGGCTCTTGACCTCSTGAAAAGATCCCACTTCTTGATGTGGAACAACCTGGTGGGAAAACACATCCTGCTGGCCTGAGGTCCAAGCACAGGGTCTTCCTCAATCCAGGCCTCCTCCCAGTGGGATGTCCAAAACAGAACTGGTGGGCTGAGTCCACTCGCCGATGCTGGTGGACAGAGAAGGCCTCTGGCTTCCTCCTAGGACATGGCCCTTGCTGCATTCCTGAGGAAGCCCTCCTGAAGGTCGGGTGCTGGGGGAACCGTGGTCAGGGGCTGCAGGGGTGCCAGAAGGTCCAAGCAGACAGGTCAGGGAGGGTTCTGGGACTCAAGGAGAGTGGCGTTCACTTGGAAAGACTGAGGCTGAAGGAATTGGAAGGCTTCAAGCACCCAGCTCTCAGAAACAGCCCACCCAGTCAGTGGTAATGAGGGCCACCGTCTGCCTTTCAGATGGCACACCTGAAGGGAGAACAGAAAATACGGGGCCCTTCCCTGCCCTCCAGAGCCTCAGGCAGTCGGAGCTCACATCTCCCCATGACAGTGCTGACTGCACCCTCCCTGCCCTGAGGGAGTAGAACATGGGGTACAATGTGGGGAGGAGCTGCAGATTTCTGGGTCACCCAGCACTGGCCCCGGGCCATTTTGTCAGGGACACAGCTACTCAGGGGGAAAGCTTCAAGCCCCAGTTTTGCTTTGACCTTTTGCTAAAATTCAGAATGCCTTTGATGATGAGTCACCCCCAAATGGGCACAGGGGTTCTCGGCAGTCCTGGTGGTAATGCTCCGCTCAGAGCAGCTCTGTTCCTCTCAGTTAGGGGTGGGAAGTTCTGAAGTCATCAGAGGTCCTACTTGTGACTTCTGGAGGGCAAAGCTTCGCTAGCCTGGGTTCTCTCTGGCCTGTTTGCTTGTTCACTGCATGTCTGTCCCCTGCTCTGCCTCCAGCCAAAGCATGAATGGCCTCGAGGTGGCCTCCCCAAGTCTGACCGACAACTCATCTCTGACCACTGAGCAATGTGGGCAGGAGACGCCCCTGGAGAACATGCTGTTCGCTTGCTTCTACCTCCTGGATTTCATCCTGGCTTTTGTTGGCAATGCCCTGGCCCTGTGGCTTTTCATCCGGGACCACAAGTCAGGCACCCCAGCCAACGTGTTCCTGATGCACCTGGCCGTGGCCGACTTGTCCTGTGTGCTGGTCCTGCCCACCCGCCTCGTCTATCACTTCTCTGGGAACCACTGGCCATTTGGGGAAATCCCGTGCCGACTCACCGGCTTTCTCTTCTACCTCAACATGTATGCCAGCATCTACTTCCTCACCTGCATCAGCGCTGACCGCTTCCTGGCCATCGTGCACCCGGTCAAGTCCCTCAAGCTGCGCAGGCCTCTCTATGCTCACCTGGCCTGTGCCTTCTTGTGGGTGGTGGTGGCCGTGGCCATGGCTCCACTGCTGGTCAGCCCACAGACGGTCCAGACCAACCACACAGTCGTCTGCCTGCAGCTGTACCGAGAGAAGGCCTCCCACCATGCCCTGGCGTCCCTCGYTGTGGCCTTCACCTTCCCGTTTGTCACCACAGTCACCTGCTACCTGCTGATCATCCGCAGCCTGAGAAAGGGCCCCCGCGTGGAGAAGCGCCTCAAGAACAAAGCTGTCCGCATGATCGCCATGGTGCTGGCCATCTTCCTGATCTGCTTCGTGCCCTACCACGTCCACCGCTCCGTCTACGTGCTGCACTACCGGGGCGGCGGGACCTCCTGCACGGCCCAGCGGGTCCTGGCCCTGGGAAACCGCATCACTTCCTGTCTCACCAGCCTCAATGGGGCCCTCGACCCCGTCATGTACTTCTTCGTAGCTGAGAAGTTCCGTCATGCCCTGTGCAATCTGCTCTGCGGCAAAAGGCTCACGGGTCCGCCCCCCAGCTTTGAAGGGAAAACCAACGAGAGCTCGCTGAGTGCCAGGTCAGAGCTGTGAGCCCGAGGCTGYGTCCCTGGGTGGGCCACAGACTGTTGCAGGAGGAGGGTCCCCTTGGGGTGGGTGACACGGGTCTCAGCAAAGAGAAGGCTGCCCACTTCTCCAATCTCCCTGAGCAAACCACCTGTTTCAGCAGGTCCCTACTCGTCCCTCCCAAAGGTCTGAACTTCCAAGTCACCCAGCCTGGAGCTGGCTCTTAACCACACAGAACCCCTAAAAAAGAAGAAGAATCAGTGAGGATTGAGAGGCCGTCCCTCTGCAGGGACTGTTGACTCTGCTTTCTAGTCGCTCCCGGACACCCAGTGAGTTCACCCGTGGAAAGGGGGAGGGGACCCAGAGGAACAACTCTGGAACACTGAGGGTCTTTCTCTCCCCCACTAGACTGCCAGCCTTCCTCCTTACAGAAATGCACAGCAGGGAGGCCACGTAGAAAGGCCCAGAAGGAAGGCTGCAAAGGACTCAGGAGAAGAGGCACCCATGAATCTCAGTGGAGGAGTAGGGACAGTGTCTACCGTACAAGGAGTTCCCTTTGCAGTGCCTTTGCCAGGCAAGCCCTTTCTGAATTTTGGGGGGATGGACTATAAATTGTAGCTAAATGCCGTAAGTATATTCAGACTGGTTGCCACGTGACACCCAGCAGACGTGGTTTGCAGAACACATTCATCCTGATCCCTCCTGTTATAAACTACACAGAGACCTGCCTATGGTCTGACAATCCCTAGAGCCACTCAGCAAAAGGAGAGTGGTGTGTATCCTGCTAATCCAGACCTGGCAGTGGCATCCTGAGTTCCATTTCCTCCCGAGGGGACTCAGCCAGCCTCTGCCCGCCCAGTTTTGAGCAGTCTCGCTTGGTAGCCTGCATGCGTCCCCCTAACATGTCCTTTTTTGTACTTGTTTGTAATGATCATAAACTGAATTGTAGTTTTAAGCTGACGGAGGCTATTGTGTCTGCTCAACGTGATGCCCTTCCCAGAACTTCTCTTCCCTTTCAACCCAAGAATGGCCAAGCAGAGGCTGGGGCAGCTGTGGGGGCTCCCTTGCCAAGGTTCTGGTGGCTCACGCCTTCCACCCATGCCTGCCTGAGCCAGGAGGGTCCAAATGAGGACTTTCATTACTCAGCATCCTGGCTGCCACCCTGTCCCCTGTCATTACCGCTTTTCTACCACATGCTACTTTTCAAAGCACTTTTGGCCTCTTCTCATTTTCCCAACCAGTGAATGGAGCAGTGGCCCTGTGCAAGACTTGGCTCAGGAGGGGACAGGACTCCTTCCAAGCTCACACCTGGCTGGTGACCCCAGTGGTCAACAGCTGTCCTTCAGCTCTTGCACTGTGCCGTCAGTGCCCCACAGCCCCTCACCCAGACAACCTGCAGAGCGCCAAGCACTGTGCCCGCCCTGCAGACACCAAGAATGACGTGAGGCCATCTTTTTTCTCATGAAGCAGCAAATGGACAAGATCACTGCAGGCCACATCAGGAAGGGTCAGGGGAGGTGCTGCAGCAGAAAACTTAGTACCTACATGGGAGAGGGTGTGGCAGTCAGATGGACAGCTGGGGGTCTCTGGGGCAGTGCTGCCTCTTCTGATGTGGGGACACGGAGAGGCAGACTTGGTCATCAGTGAGTTCAGTGGTTTGCTTTTTGTTTCATACTGGGGATTAAACCCAGGGGCACTCCACCACTGAGCTACATTCCCAGCCCTTTTTTATTTTAAGACAAGGTCTTGCTGAGTTGTGCAGGCTGACCTCAAACTCACTTTCCTCCTGCCTCAGCATCCCAAGCCACTAGGATTACATGCGTGAGCCACTGCTTCCAGCAGGAAACTCGGGGTGGGACCCATTGCATTTGGGATGCCTAGTGTGCCCCCCAGGGAACAGCCATGTGGACCACTGAGTACTGGTAGGAAGACGTCTGGGGTGGTGCCCTTAACTATCCAGACAGGCCATGCAGGGTCTCAGGCCTGTCTTCAAAGGCAGACATGAGGGGCCAAGCACAAAGCCCCAGAGGAGAAGAGAAGAGAATGAGGGAGGGGGAAACCATGAGATATGGGTTCTCACGGAGAGAAGAGGCGTTTCCACCTGAAGGAGGGGCGTTGCCGTGAAAGCCACCGGGAGACCTGTTAGTGCCCACGGTGGCCGCGGGGAGCACACTAGGGTAGTGGGGGCTCCCGGGTGGAGCAGGCAGGTGCGCTGGAAAGGGCTGCAGCTATGCAGGTGTGGGTAGGGGCACCCCAAAATTCGTCTCCAGGGAGGAGGGAGGTAAGGCCATCACTCTACAGAGGGGCGTAGAGGTCAGCAGTTCGGAAAGGCAGGGGTGGGGAGAATCATAAGGCTTCTTGAAGGTGGGAACTACCTGTGTGCTGGTGAATGCATGGTCCTGATTGGGGGGACTTCTCTCCAGCAACTTTCAGTCATGTGAGTCTATAGAGTTGGGGGGTGCAGATAGCTGGGGTCCGCATGCTGAGGAAGCCCCAGGGGTGTCAGCTCAACTCAAAGCTCCTTATCCAACCACCGTCACCTCATGGCTCCTGCTCCAGGGCTATTGTCCTCACTGCCTGCTGGCTGTCCTGGAGGAACAGTGCCAAGCCCGGGGGGCTCTGCTCTTGCCCCGCATCCCTGTCTCTGCAGCCTCACTCCTCATTAGAAACTGGGGGTGTACTGACCACCTTGGAGGTACAAAAGGGAGTCGGTAGCCACATCAGTAGAGGCCAGGGAGCCTGGAGGGGCCTGGGGCTCAGCCTGTGGCCCCTGGGGCTCCTCACCTGCCCGCGTTCTTCACAAAGCCCAGGTCAGCCAGCTCCACATCACACAGCTCACAGCGGAAGCACCCCGGGTGCCAGTTGCTGTTCATGGCCTTGATCACGCGTCCAATGATGAACTCGCCTGGAAGAAGAAAGGTCCCTGCTTGCTGGGCAGGACTTGGCCCCTGCCAGGCCCTGTCCACATCMGCGCTCCTCCAAGCTCAGCCTGGTCCAAGGAACCCTGCCTGCAGCACAGGAAGGCGGTGCCTGTGGAGGGCTGGAAGGGAAATGCTCAGAGACGGGCAAGGTGGACAGGGAAGAGCCCCTCCACCCAGCAGGCCAGGCCCGTGGGCACTCCACTGCAGGACCCTCACCCGCCCACCTCTCACTTCCCAGGCAGCAGCGGACTCACCGCAGGATCCGCAGCACGGGGCAAACAGCATTTGGAAGTCGTGTTCGCAGTATTTCCGGCCCTCAAACTGCAAATGGGCCACAGACAAGACCAATAAATCACCCATCATCCCCACGAGCCTCCTCCACACCCGTACCCCTGCCTTTGTTGGGTCAGGACCTGATGGCAGGGACGGATGGGTGTGGAACTGAGAGGAGGAGATTCCAGAAGCCAGAACAGGGGGTGAGGCCTCATGATACAAAGAGGTGCCCAGAAAGGGGCTTCCCTAGGAACCACTGCAGAAGTCCCCAAGGCCAGCTCTCAGAGGGCCCCTGCTGCATGTTAAGGATGGTGGCCCTGTGGGTCCCGAGAGCAGGCCAGACTGCAGGAGGGAGCTTAAGCTGGGACGGGATGAGGTCAAGTTCAAATCATATGCATCTCTTTGCCCTATTTCCTGTGTCCTTTCTGTATGGGAAATCCAGAGGTCACAAAAGAGTGAAGAGAATTAAAAAGGGGACACAGGAGGGTCTGAGGGAGGGAGGGGAGGGCCGGAATGGAGGCACAACTGAGTACTGCAGCCAGTGGGAGTGGACACCCCCGTGGAGCCACTTTTTGGCAGCGAGGACCAGGCACTGGCCCCAGGATGTCAGAGCCTCCCTGTCACCCTCTCCCTGAACAATTTTTTTCTTGTTTAAAAATCTGGCTTTTCTGTTTTCTATACCAAGTGCCTATTCGACTGCAGCCCTATCCAGTGACCTGGGGAGGCAATGGAGGTTTAAGTTCATCCTGCAGTGATATCTGAGCGCCTACTGTATGCCAGGCTTTGTTCTAAGCACATGGCCCCTTCAGAACCGTCTACTCTTCCCGTTGCCTCTACAGCTGGCCATCACTCCCCAGGAGGCTATGAAGCACCCCAAGAATGCTACTGTGCAAGGCAGATCACACACCCACATCCATCCACCAAGGATCCCTTAGGATCCTCAAAAGCTACTGCATCTGCCCCCAGTCCCTGGTCCCCACCTCCACTGCCACTGTCAGTGGTGTGCTGGTAAGTGTGCAACAACCAGCTCTTGGTGGCATGGAGGGAGGTGGCTGATGCCTAGTGTTGGTGAAAACATTCCCCCAGGGTGATTTCCAGCTGCCAACGCRACACTGACCCAGTCGGGAAGACATGGGCACTGGCTGCCTTGGAGGTAGGAAGGATAGAAATAACCTCAGAAGCATAGAGGATAGTAAAATGTAACAAAATAATTAGGAAGTGGGGAGTTTTACATATGAGTTACCTTTGTGGGGTTTTTTAAAGTATTTTTTTAGCTGTGTATGGACTCAAGGCCTCTATTTGTTTTGATGTGKTGCCAGGATGGAACCCAGTGCCCCACACTTGCCAGGCAAGTGCTCTGCCRCTGAGCCCCAGCTCCAGCCCCACCTTTGTTTTTAATAAAATGTTTCTTCACATTTGTGCATTTCCACAACTTAATTTTTTAATGATGACTATTTAATAATCATTTTGCAAGACTAAAGATTTAACAACCTGCTCCTATGAGCTGGTGACAGCCATTCGAGGTCCCTTCACTTTTACCTGGATCATTGTAATAACCCAGCTCCGGGTCCCACCTGGCCTCCAGCTTCTGTCCCCAGCCCCCTGACAGTTTCCTCTAACACAGCAACCARAGGGGTCATTTTCCAAGATCAGGCATATGGTGTGACTCTGCATTCCTACTCCAATCTCTTGCGGAGTGGAAGCCTAAGGTTCTATATGGCTCTACAGGACCAAAGGAGATCCATCTCCCTGTCATCCCCATCTCCTGCAGGAGAATGCTCCTGTTCCCTCTGCTTCCATGATGGCCTTCCTACTGTTCCCCAAACACCCCGCACCCCCCACCACCACGGGCCTTTGCACATGCTGTGTC